GGCCTGACGCCAGCAGCACACATGTGGTTATACGAGCCGTCATCGCTTTCTTAGAAGCCATTGGACTGGATGCACGTCTGTAGAGTTACCCAGCCTAATAAGAACATATCATCTCTCTACCTTACCATCGTCATACATCACTCTTTCACTTCACTCCCCAGTCACCTTTCCCCAGTGTAGAGTAGCAGGCCAGAGCAAACTATAGCTCAGGTTGACCTCTCTACCTTTCTGTAAATAAATTCTCTCTCTCTCGCTGTGTTGGCGAACCAGTTGGGTTTCACTGACCGTACGAAGCCTCTTCTCAAGGCTGGGGCTATTCCTACCGTGTGCCCTGCTGTAGCTGAAAGCAGCGAATCACTGGCCAAACGTCTGCGACATGACGTGCGTAGTTCGTGTTCTTGTGCTCTGACAGTACGGCCGGAACTGATACATTGTATTTAATGCGGAGATTGTCAAGCAAGGATCGGTGCGAATCACGGCGATACCCAATTCCAGGTCGCTGTCATCATCACTTGCCGATGTTGACTGAGACGACGGCGGGGACGACGATATTGGCGAAAGAGGCAGGTCAACGCCTTCAGAGACACAGCTGGGCTGACTGTACGTGCGCTCCTAGTAGACGAAACGCCAGTGTGACGTCACCATTTTTTGTGAAAGCGGCATCAGCTGTGCAGGGTAGCGTGCCAGCACTACAATTTGGTGGGCTTTCCACCTATTTTGAACCGCGTTCGATAGCGAATATATTAATCAATATTACAGATACTCATTCGTCACTCAGGTGCGTTTTAGGTCGTGAATCGCTACTAGGGGGTCGATAGCTACTCGTTGAAGCTAAAATCTTCACATGAGTGAATTTGATGTCAGTGCTCCTTTAATATCATGCGACAACTGGTGTATATATGAGATAACCTCCATTGGGGGTGGACAAATGTCAGCCCTGTTAGGCTTGTTGTTTTTGAATGTTTAATATTTTGCTGGAGGGACTTGCATACGGCAGTCATAAGTTTTGGGGGGTAACCCGCACGCTTTAGTCTCAGAACTTGGCCACAAAAATTTTCGGAAAGAGCGTGACTACAAGTCTTATTGGTTGCTGAGTTCAAACAATTCATAGGGGTACTACGCTGGACAAGTTTTGTCAAAACTTTTCAAGTGAAGTTGAGCGCAAAATTGTGGAAGCTTTTTTTCATCCATAAAACAGGGGATAACTGCGTTGGCAGGTCTTCCATCATTTCGTCAGACCCTGTGATTGATTATCTCAAAAAGTTTTTATTCAATCATCGGTTTCACTCTCACATCTCGGTTTCGGATGCCTTTAAATTTTGTCGTCATGTTTATGTTTTTCTTTTCTTTTTTTCTCCCAAAGTGCCCATCTGTTATGTTTTCTTTGTTGCTTATCATGCTTTTCCATCCCTGCATGCATTTTTCATGTGAATTTCTCTGCCAGTAAAATGAATTGTTAAGATTGTTTTTATCGCTGTCTGTCGATTCCGGCAAAACAAGATTGTCAGAGTAATTTTTAGCGATCATGTCACACATATATATGTGCACTGGTGAAGGCAATAAAAATCAGTTGTAAGGCAGCACTCGTTACATCTATTGCATGGGTTTCTGTCCATAGGTTTTATAAGCACTGCACCCCGAAAGTTTGCCCCGCCACGGTGGTCTAGTGGCTAAGGTACTCAGCTGCTGACCCGCAGGTCACGGGAACGAATTCCGGTAACATCTTCGATGAAGGGGGAAATGCTGTAGGCCCGTGTGCTCAGATTCGGGTGCACGTTGAAAAACCAGAGGTGGTCCCTCCACTACGGCATCCCTCATAATCATATGGTGGTTTTGGGGTGTTTTATAAACCCCACATATCAATGAATCATCACCCCAAAAGTTGGACCCAAAATTAACTTGCCCAAACTAAAGTTCTGTTAACTGGACGGCTTGTTCAATCCTAAAAAGGTGCTTGGATCTACAAATGAAACGCTGATGGTTGTGACAGCTGAACTAAATGTAGGCTCAAGGACTGAAGAAACTCAAGACAAAATTTCTTATCCTAAGCCTAATAATTTAAGTTGTGATAACAATGTCGAAAGCTGTTTCTTGGCTCTAAGAGGAAGTAAGTCACCGAGTGATTTAAAAAGGTTTAACATAGCACAAAACCACGTATGATTACAAGGGATGCTGTAGCAGAAAGCTTCTAAGATTTTATTTATTATTTCAAGGAAATCACTATTTTATTGTAATAAAAATAGTGTTATAATATATTTATTAGCATGTTTTAGTGAAATCAATCTTCATTAAGATATAATTGTATATTTATGCTGAGTCACTCATGGTGTGTGTGTGTATGTATATATATATATATATATATATATATATATATATATATATATATATATATATATATATATATATATATATATATATATAGATAGATAGATAGATAGATAACTTGCCGTGGGCGGATCCTGCCCACGGCAAGTTATCTTTGCACCCACTTTTCTTCATATTTACATTACAATTTGGTGTAATATCTTCCCCTATACTTTCCTTGGCATTATTGCCTGTTAGATCACGCACGCACGCACGTGCACGCACACACACACACACACATATTTTGGGAATTTGTTTTTCCATTATAATCGAAATTATACTTTTAATGTGGCTCACAGAAAGTGGCAGATCGGACGACTCGTCAAACACTAGTACCTTTAGCAAAGTGATCGTATGTGACAGTACATTGCAAAATGAAGTTAAATGCAGACATATTTATTACTCACGAGGCTCAGTTCATTCAAATGTCAATATGTCTTGCTCTTAGTCACTAGCTGACACAACTAACAAAAACAAGGGACATACACAGTCATGTATGGAGTGTCTCAGAGGGCTAATTCAGGTTGAGATAGCTTACTTTCTCAATAGTTGTTATTGGTCATGCCGCTCAACCTGCCGCGGTGGTCTAGTGGTTGTAGTGCTCGACTGGTGACCTACAGGTCACGGGATTGAAGGCTGACAATGGTAACCTCATTTTCGGTGGAGAAGATGAAGGCCAATGTACCAAGATTTATGTGCACATAGAAAGTACCAGGTGGCCAAAATTTCAAGAGCCCTCCACTATGGCGTCTTTTATAATCATATCGTAGTTTTGAGACATTAAATCGCAACAACAATCGGCAGTCAGTCATTCTTGTGAATTGTTTTGGACTTGTGAATAACGAGACAGTTGCAGTAAAATCACTGCTGTCTTCTAAACGTTAAGGCATTTCTTAATCTATTTCTATTCATGTTCGCCTTGACATGTTTACATCTGATCTGAATATGGTGGTTTTGTAACTGTCAATAAACGAATCCTGGGCAGTTTAAACAGAGAAATACAGGAAACATTCGTAGCCATTTATGCATAGAAAACTGATTTTTGAAGATAAAAAGAGGGCTTCCACAAAGGTTTTACAAGAACAGTGAGTATTGTTCTTTGACGACATACGAATAGTGGAAAGAGTGTAATATGTGCTCCTGAGCTAGTGACTGGTTCAGTACACGCACATGCACTTGGCGTCAATCCCACGCGGCTATAAACAGTAACCAGAAATCATGTCAAAAAAAGGGCAAAAAACCCAAGAAAGTGCACAACACAAGCGCTTGTGTCGTGAAGTTTTTTGTGTTTTTTGTACTTTTTGTGCACTGATCCTGATGAGTATGTTCCAACTAGCTCAATTAGCTATTCTTGTTCATGTGTTTTAGCCATTAATATACTAATCTCGGGCAAAGAACAGTGTGCACAAGTTGAAATGAAGCAGTGGCATTCTGCTGCTGGCTGGAAGAACTGGGGCAGTCAGGGAACACTGGCTCTAGGGTAAACTTAGACGAGTGTTGTGATTTGTGTGAATAGTCACAACACCTCTGTGACAACTGTTAATAAGATTGTGTGTTTAGTGGCATATTAAGTCATTACATCTCATATGCCACATTACCATTGTTTTAAGAGATATAAAAACACATTGACTGCTTAATGGTAGTGATAGTATGGTGCCTTCTCATAACTTGCTTTATCCTGAATATTACATTTATTAAATAGACCGAACTAATACTGCATAAAACATGCTTAGTAACCGTTACAGCAATATGTTTTAAAAACATGCTGTGATAGGCAAATTACGACGCTCACTCCAACTGTCATAAACATATTTAAGGCCAGTTAAAATATAATTGCATTGAAACACGTAAAGTCTTATACCAAGTTTATACTCAGAGTGCAGGGATGGGGAAGCCAGACATGAAGTATGGTCATAAAAAAAAAAAAGAACATTCACTCCATCTATTTTATGCTCAAGTGGTTTAAAGATAAATTACAGTTGCATGGGTGTGAGAATATGTCTGGCTAACTCTTTTTTTTTTTCAGTGATTTTATACATATATAAATACTTAGAAATTTTGCTTAAAGTAGTTTCTCGTGGTGCCATTCAAGCATCATTCTAGATATGGAAGATCACATGCTGCCTTTCCAAGCGTTGCTGGCAAAAACACCAAGTTAACTCTTAGTCTGAATGCAGTGTTTGTCAATGTGAATGATTTGCTGGTAACTAAAGTAAGTATATGCAGCTTCCACAACATTGCATGCATTGTATGAAATGGCATATAACCATTTGATATGCTATTTGGATGGTGGCATATGTATGGCAGTTGTTGTCAGGACAGTGTTTGCCTAAGTTTTTGCCAGTTTACCTAAGTTTTTCATATGACTCATGGGTAAGTCTGCTGGATAGAAGACTATAAAATGGTAAGGCTGCCAGTAGTTTCCTCTGACATGTACCTTTACTTGCTAGCACATAAGGCCATGTAGCCTAGGCAGTTAAGAATATTTGAGGGAATCATATTTCTGTATATAGTGTATAAAGTAATCGACCAAACTTTTAAAAAGAAAATGGTGCACGTCACTTTTTTTTTTTCACATTTAAAAATTTTTTGCTGTATGTTATGTACTGACAATACTTATATTTGTTATCATGCAGCTCTGAATACAAAAGATTCGGTATTTGAAGAACGTGTAAACATTGGTTTTAAGTTCACACCACCGAGCATTAGTAGACAAGAATGGAAAAAGCAGAAAAAGCTGCTTCAGGAAAACAAGAACAATTATGAGCTGGCTGAAAAATCACGTGCTGGAACTTGTAAGTACTATTCATTTATAGAGTCACAGTTCAACTTAATTGCTTTGCCTCAGAATAATGCTTGTATTGAAATTATTTTAGTGAAGATACAGTATGACGAAGCCAGGCAAGAGTGGAAAAAAACGCATGCACCAAAACACGTGAAAGAGATTGCAGACCACTACGGTGTCTTCAGAGACCTCTATGAGTTTGGATTTTTTCATCCTGTCATTCCCTTGGATATTTTATATGAGCAGAATGCAGAGTACTTCAGTCCTGTGTACTACGGCAACATCATCCTTCCTTCTGAGGTAAATACTTGAGTTTTGCATCTTTCGTTATTTCTTGTAATTTCATGACTGATTGGCAAGCTAGGACTTTTGTTATGGACTTTTATAAAAATTCAAAGAAGGCAGAAGTTCAGGGGAGGCTGAAAGCTTGAAGTGATGAAAAATACTTGGACATGTGGGCATCTCTGTAGGCAGTGTCTCGGCTAGTGCCTTCGTCTTCAAGGTAGCAGCTGTTTACGTTAGCATAGTTATGTGTATGCTTTGTAACATATGCAGAATGTACAAAGCATACACATGCAGGCGTTAAGGTAGGCAGTTTCTACCGAAAGGACAAACAAAAGCACTTGTCGAGACGTTGGCTCCAGAGACGCCCTCCTGGGTCAAAGTTTTTTCCAAAGTGTAAATGAACGAACATCACGTCAGGTTTTGTCATTGTTTATTGAGAGAACTCACCTGTCTTCAAAGTCATAGTAATAAGGAATTGTAAATTTAACTAGATTGGTTAGTTTTATTTTTTATATAAGTGGTAGTTATATTATGGTTCCTCAGGAAAAATTAATTGCTTAGCTATAAATTAAAATGATGCTGCCCTATATTGGTACCAAAGAGGGAACCTTCCTTGTTATGAGAAGCTTTTTTTTAATAAAAAGTGATGCGAAAATTGGGGAAATTCTGTCGTAGGGGCTTTTTAACATATGTGTCACTTTCAAGGAGCCTGTATATGTCAATCACTTGTCTAAACCTTACAGCCAGCTTAATTAAAAAAAATTGCTTCACTCAGTTAGGTAACTTTAAGGGTTGGTTCCAAACTACTTATTTGCTATAGTATTTACTATACTTAGTATAGTATACTTATTTGCTATACTTATTTACCACATTACTTTTTATGTAAAGCTGCCCTTCTGTACTTTTGAATGTCAACAATAACAGCACTGTGATTCATGCAAACCTAAATTTTAAAATTTCAAAGTTGGACCGCCTCTCCCCCCTCCAACAGCTGGTATCTTGCAGAACCTATTAAAACAATCTATCAATGATAGAGTGAGTATTCACACTTGAGTTACAATGCAAAAAGAAAGAGGAGGATGTACTTGTAGGTCAGCTAAGGGCCATAGTAGGGGCTAGTTGGTTGCACATGGTTGACTCTCGCGACGTGTAGAATTGAACACTAAAAGACACCCTGAAGCACAGGTACAGGTAGGACACACACGAGCGTGAACTAACAACTGTTTATTCGATGGAAATATGACAAATATATTTAGATGAGAGCACACCTATCTCTCACCCAGGCACCTTTGGTGGTATACTCTCTCTCTCAGAGACGCCATAATTGCCCCGCTGCTGTGGTCTATTGGCTAAGGTACTCGGCTGCTGACCCGCACGTCGCGGGTTCAAATCCCGGCTGCGGCATCTGCATTTCCGTTGGAGGCGGAAACGTCGTAGGCCCGTGTGCTCAGATTTGGGTTCACGTTAAAGAACCCCAGGTGGTCAAAATTTCTGGAGCCCTCCACTACGACGTCTCTCATAACCACATGGTGGTTTTGGGACGTTAAACCCTACAAATCAATCAGAGACGCCATAATTTGTTTGGAACTGCTAAGGCGCGCCTCGCTAGCAAAGCAAGCAGTTGCTCTGGGAGTTTACAATGCGAAAAAGCGCCTGTTCACGCTGCGCGCGCTTATAAAACGTTATTTAGGTACCACTGCGCTGTCGTCTGATGCGACAACTAGCGCAAGAGAAAGAGATTGCTGAGCACTGCCTGCGAAGTTCACAGTGCATCGGAGGAATCGGGCTGGTGCAGTGTTTTATGATTGCACAGATTTCCGTCCACTGCGAAAAACTCTGAGCTCCGCCGCTTTAGGATATAATCGTAATCAGCAGGAAAGACTACGAGCCCAGTGAACTGTACGAGTAAGTATACTTATGGCGTTTATACAAGCGCAAGTCCAGCTGTTCCACTTTACAGCAGCGATTTGCATGCAGTATGCCTGTAGCATGTGGCACGAAACTTGCCGTACTTTTTGGCAGGCCGCATGTCAATAATAGCATATATGTAATATGACTCACGCGTGAATGCAGGCACAGCGAATGTTTTGTACAACTGTAACGGCCTACTGTCGTGATGCAACGAGATATGAACGGTGCGGAAAGCATGGCTTTCGACTCGGCTGAGCTGCGACATGCCTTGACTTGTCACTAGGCGAATACACATGTGCTTTCGGCCGGCGTCACCGTAGCATTTTAAGATCCTGTTCTGGCTGGCACTTTCGTATTGCGTGTGTGTTCTGAGTGCCCTGCAGGACTGGCAATTGATACACATAAAGTGCATGAGCATAAGTTCGAGCCATATTCTAGCGCTACGTTGACGCCGGCTTAAATTTTGCCTTGTCACAGCCACGGCACGCTGCAATTCGACTGAGTCGAAAGCAACGCTTTCCACTGTGCGAGTTTCTTTCAATCGCGATAGCGCGTACCTGATGAAGTTGCTTCCGCAGTCTGCAATGCACGTGCTGCAGACATTCTCGACTGTCGTGAAAGGTCTCCTCGACGTTTCACACAAAATCAGCATAAAATTCCAGCACAGGAACAGCGCGAAACATGCTTACAGCCGCACTCGGGTTGTAAAGTTTCGCGTTTGAGTTGCAGAGCGTCTGCTTGCGTGGCAGTTGAGGGTGTTGCTTCGCCGTGCTTGCAACAGATGGCGCCACGCACTTTTCAATATGGCAGCAAGCACTGAGCTCACTGTGTTCTGGTGTATAGAGTGAAAGGAAAAAGAGCGTAAACCTGCGCACTGTATTACAAGAAAGCGCCCATCTGTGTTTGTGGAAACTGTCCTTCGTGTCGCTTCACAGGAAGAGGAGGAAGACACCCAGTGTTACATCAACAGGGCACATGAACGTTTCTGATGTAGAGCTACCGCAAAAGGTACGGTTTATCCTAGACAACGGTCCGAAATTTGCGATACAACTTTATTGGAAACCTTCAAAACTTTTGAGCTTCGTTCACGAAGTGGCACGCAGGGTTTCAGAATATGTAAAAAATGCTTGCATTGTAGAAAACATCAATTGTGTCAACAAACACACTATGCGCAGACAGGGAGGTGAAAATTGAAAAAACGGGTTAAAATTTTTAAAAGACCAGAAACTGACGTTACAATTGTCGTATAAGATGGGAACATTTGTAGTTATGTCGGCAGAACAGCCAGCACCTGGATAAGGCTAGGAAAGCGGTTCAAAAGAACTTTTCAAAAGTGGATCTCGATGGTGCATCGTTGAAGAACGTTCAAAAGAAAGTCGTCAGCTTGAGTAAACGACTGGGACTGCAGAAACTGGAAAAAACATTAGGGGTTGCAACGGGACGACATTGAGGCCCTTCTTCACTACTAAAACACACAAGTAAGACAATCCTTTTCGGATGATTGTGTAAGATAAAGGCACTTGGCAGCACATTCTAGCTAGATTTCTCAAAGGAATGTTGGAACCCATGGCGGTGGAAGACCGTTTCGGTGGGAGCAACTGAAATGGTGTTATTGAATTCCTAAATAACGGACAGTCGGTTACGTGCATATCTATAGACGTCAAGGACATGTATTGCAACATCCCACAAACTGAAGCCATTAGAACGGGGCAGCAATGTATAGATGCTCACGGGGTTATGTTTCAAAATGAGTGTGGGACTAGTGTTCGTGGTTTTTTGGATTTGCTGCGCATTTAACTATAGTCGCTGTATGTGGAATTTCATGAATCCATTTTTGTTCAGAGGGACGGTATTTGCATCGGATTGCACCTGGTGCCGATCTTATCGAATTTGTACATGGCGAAAGGAGACAGCGCTTTGTAATCCCGATTGCAAGGGTATGGGGCTGTGGCATGTCTCCGTTATGTTGATGATTTTTTATTATGTTTTCCTATGTCAGCATAAAACCCGACAATATTGTCGCAATGTTTAAAATGACATATTGTGGTTTAGATTTCACTTTGAGTCGCCCACAAGTTCTGGCATAAAATTTTTAGGCATCATGATTTCGCAAGGTGAGGGACACACGTGCTGGGAATATGATGTTAGAGGTGATAAAAGTTTGTTGAGCTATAGCTCGGGTCACTCCAAGCGTGTGAAAAGAAGTGTCGCGTATGCATGCATGTTAAACAGCTGCCAAAAGTCGTGTAACCACGTGGTAGCGCGAAGTTTGATGAAGCAAGTTGATAGACTTAGGGACAGCGATTACCCTGATACCTTGATCACTGCCTTGGCTGAAAGGCTCTTAAAAACCGTCAGAAATATGTATAAAAGCAACGTAGAATAAAAAAAAGTCAAAAGAGAGGCCTATTGTTATGCCATACATTCACAGCATCTTGCACGGACTGAAAAAAATTTTAAATAGGCATGGTATACCCATGACCTTCACGGTACCTCACAAATTAATTTCACTTTGTCAGCAGGTAAACGGCAACAACCAGAACAACCATACATGTTCTTTTGAACATGTCAACAAGTTTGTACCATGTGAAAAAAATGTGGTATACGATGCTCCTTTGTCATGCGGAAATTAGTACGTTAGGCAAACTGGTAGGTGTCTTAATTCACCTTTATGCGAGCGTGATTACAACTGCAAGCACATTAGTCACCCTGGTAACTTAGCTACCCATTGCATGAAGTGTCATTGTAAACCACATTTCGAAAAAACCGTTGTATCAAGATCCAAAGACACTAAGGAAAGAGAAATCATTGAAGCTTTCACGATGCGCAGGCTTGGAGAAGACAGCTGTGTTATTGTGCCATCTATTCATTTGTCTATCGATGAATATGCTTTTTTACATAGAAATTTTCGATAGTTTACAAGGCCAGATTTGATTTCGCGCAGATGGGTGCTTTCTTGTGGTGTGCAGTCCGCAGGTCTTTGTTCTTTTTTTTATTTCTCTTTCACTCTATATATGTTTGTCATATTTCCATCGAATAAACAGTTGTTAGTTCACGCTCGTGTGTGTCCCTGTACCTGTGCATCAGGGTGTCTTTTAGTGTTCAATTCTAGCGCATCCCGAGTGTCAATCTTGTAGGTCAGCATTGCGAGGTACAATTATTTTCCTTGCAGGCTGTAAAGGCTCCCAGAGTGCATTTTGATTCTGAACCTGACATGCTTTGGACTTTAGTCTTGACAAGCTTGGATTCTCATTTACAAGAGAATGACAAAGAATATCTGCATTGGTTTATGTAAGTATATATTAATATCTTCTTGCTCCTCTGGAAGTTTGCCACTGTGTTTATCCTGTTTGCCAAGGCCAAGAATGCAGTTGGCGAGGAACGTATTGTGTGTAACTGTATCCAATACACATTTCAGTGCAAATATAACCACAACAACTCTATCTAGAAGTCACTAAGGCTACCTGTGGCTCCTAACTAGAGCTCGTGATTAGTGTGCTACAGCTGTTAATGACTGTGTTTACATCTTATTCAGAGCTGTTTTTCACTGCTGCAAAGACAGTCTTGCTCCTGACATAGCAGAAACTCTTTGTAGTCAAGCGATTGCTGTAACTGTTTCAGGCTTATTTTGATGCTTGCTATTTCAGCACACATGTAAGTATGATTTGACAGGTGTAAATTCTGTGAAAATAAACCCGTACATACCCGCCGCGCAACCCGACCACACCGCTCGGTGATCATCCCTGGCGGCGCCGACGTACCACACAAAGACCGATTTACAAGCTACACAGAATGCATGCAACACCACAGAGAAGCAAGGCATGTCTTTCCCGCACGTCACCCGAGTCTAAACAGGCAAAAAGCATCGGAATACTGACAGCTACAGACAAACTCCTACCCGAACCCTGTGCACCTCCACAGGAGCTACCCACACTTATACCCGGACAATAAATGTAAGCTATGTGTAACAGAAAAAGCGTCTTATAAACATATATTATGGGAATGCCCCAACTTATCAACAAGTTCTTTTGAGGCCCACTGGGAACAGTGGCGACTTGTGCTACTCAGCTCGGAGGTTCAAGACCAAAAATGGGCTATCCAGCGGGCCAGGGAGGCTGTACAGAGATAAGGTCTCCCGGTACCTCCTTGTGCGGTCTAGCCCGGACCACAAACTTGCCGGATATGGAAATAAAGTTTATTCATTTATTTATTCATTCATTCATACCTGTACATATCACTAGTATTATAAGTAATGTGTAATTATGTGTAATTTTTACACAGTTTTATATCCTCATGGGATTTATATTGGAGCACTTTCTTTTTGACCTGATTATGAAGGGGTTACAGTTAAATTGGTTGTAGCAGTGTTCATTTCCCACTCTGGCATGCCTGATGGGTGTGATGCAAGACCAAGACATTTCTACAGAAGTGCCAGTAAACGGCACTCCCCATATCATGCTCGCTGGTAGGGACAGTACAAAATGTGAGGCCCTGTTGGTGAAAGCAAGGCAGCAAGGTGTACCTGTGTAGTCTCAGGTGCACTACGGTGGCAGTTGTAGACAATTTTGTGTATGGCAGCATTTCTAGTGTGCTCTCTGTTGAGAAGGATGTGATGTGTCAAATGCATGCTTTGCACATGAGAAGCGGATGTAAAGTCATCACAGAACCCAATTAGAATATCTACCGGCCTCATGATGGCAAGCAGCAATGGCAAGCTGCATCAGCGCGTATGATTTGCCTGATTCACACTTATTCAGGACCATGAGCCGTAAAGAATGATTGGTCAGCTAAAAAGAAAGAAAGCTCTGAACGCTTCACTATACTGTCTGAGTGTGCCCAGTCCGGCCACTCCTTGTGAGAGTCTCCAGACAAAGACATGTTTATGGGGTATAATGCAACTTTCTGGCCATTAGTAACTCTGTGATCGTGTCTCTCTGGTCTTATTATTCATGCACAGAAACTTTTCTTGTTGAGAATGTGTTGCCAGAATTGTTTAGTTTGTCGTTTATTAGTATAACCACGATACACTTTACAGTGCATCTTTAAACACAAATTCCAATGTAAGTTCCCTCGACTTAATGTTGTAACAAGCTGTCTGTAGAGCACTAATCAGTCTTGTTCTTTTATCCTTTCAGCACTTTATAACACTGTATAGGCTTTAATTGAAGTGTGTGTCGCACACATTCTCTGGGAATTTGAGGTTATAGGCAAAGAAAATGCAGTCTCCCCAAATGAAGCTGCGATGCGGGGATTGACTGCACTGCACAACTCAAGTCTCCCAAGATCCTTTCTACTTGTCTCTTCACTACCTCAAGGGCTTGCTAAATCCAGCAAGCCCGTGAGGTAGTGAGAAGACATGTTCTCCAGACACTTCCTCAGGGGTGGCCTAGGCCCAGGCCATGAATTTGTCGGAGTTCTCAATGAAGTTGTTACCACCATCCCACGATGAAAAATTTCCCCATGTCCTGTAATTTCTTAACCTTGGCAGTTATTAAACAACAATAATAAAAAAACAGTTATACAAAGGATACTGGATCATCAGCTTTTTGGGTGGTTAGGCAAAGAACAAGGCATGGTATTGACAAGATAAGATGATATTGTTATGTTAGTGTGAGTTAGTACGGAAAACTGTTGCTGGTAGCCAGCTAGCTGCAGGGCCCTCCGCCAGGGTGCTGCAAAGTGCAAAGTTCCAGCACATCTAGTTCATGAGGTCGCCTGTTCCAATGATGTAAAGCAACATATGTGGTATTGAAATTTATTCCACTCACTACCAGTGGTCATGCAAAAATATCTGTTGTGTTCACTTGAAATGCTAGGAACATTGTGGGCTCTGAGGTATGCCCATCCATCTAATGCACCATGTTCCAGTTGCTAATAGCTAGTGATGAATGTGTCTTTGTGCCGCATTACAACTAATATCACAACATTGACAGATTGGCATGATATGACTGCTCAGTGAGTATTGTTATAGCCAAAGTCATCACCTTCACCTGCGTGTCATTTTCACCACAAGCACTCAGTTTATTCTGTATTGTTATGCGAGGGTTGTGAGATAAATGATCTTAATGTTTTCTTTGGTGCAGCCTTGCATTGTTATGCCCACGTTAAGAGCTGAAATTAGGGCTCTCTTGACTTCTGCAGATATAATCATTTGCGAGAATGATTCTGGATCTTGTTCTATCATTGTTACGTACAAAAATGCACTAATCGGCTTTTTTGAAATTTCTCGCGGCATCATGACCTGACTTGCTCCGTTATTTCACATTCTGCATGATATAACCAGGCAGTGCAGACCCTTTCATATGCAGAGGTCAAAACTTTGCAGGCTGCTATTCCATCTATTCCTAAGCCATCCTTACCTGCAAACTTTTGACCATCACTGTACCAGCCTACCATTGCCAATGCTCAGCTGTCCACAGAATACTGTATGTAATGCAGATCTTGATATTTTCGTTACTCACAGTTGTATTATTTTCCCGATTTGCGATATTGTGACAGTTATGCATTGTTGGAGCTTGTAGCTTCTCCTCTCTTTTCAACTTACCTTGTTTTTTATTGTATGTAAAGTGTCTTCATATTCATTGCCCTTTCATATTTCATGCGTGGTGCTATGGTATTGTGCTCTTTCATAAACTTTGTGTAATGCACCTTATTTTTGTACTTATTTACTTTAAGTGCCAGTGCTGAGGTTTTAGTTGTTCTTTGGCATGTTGAATAAGCAAATGATTTATTGCTTGGTTATTAATTGGTTGTTTTCCAGTGGCAACATCAAAGGAAGCCAGGTAACAGCCGGTGATGTATTATGTGACTACCTGCAGCCTTTTCTTCCTCGTGGTGCTGGCTATCATCGATTTGTATTTGTCCTGTACAAGCAAGAAAAGTTGATTGACTACTCTAAATGGAAATGGCCTGCAGAAAGGTGAGGGGCTGCCTTATTAGTTGCTAGTAAGTGATCTTTGGATTTTGGACAACTTTTCTGGTATCATCCAACTAAATTCAGCAACTTGCACTCAGTGTCGTACGAACTCTTTCACGAGTTGGGGGGAGGGGGGAACGAAGGCAAGCGTGTGTGTGTGTGTGTGTGTGTGTGCGTGTGTGTGTGTGTGTGTGTGTGTGTGTACACACACACACATGCCGCCATGGCTACAGATGGCGCTGACTGACACTCCCGTGCTTAAATTCACATATAAACCCAATAAAGTGGCTTAAACCCCACAAATCAATCAATCAATAAAGTGGCTGGGAGGATAGCCGCCATGGTATCTCAGTGGAAGAGCATGGAACATGTTATTCGAAGGTCGCAGTTTCGGTTTTGGTTCCTGCCCACAACAAGTTATCTTTTCACCCACTTTTCTTTCTTCGCATTTACATTAGAAATTCAGTCTAATAACTTTTCCTATACTTTCTTTGGCATTATTGTCTGTTAGACCTCATTAATATTGTGTCAAAACACGGAAAAACGAGCCCTTAAGTGTACACTTCTTTCCCTTATATATATATATATATATATATATATATATATATATATATATATATATATTATATATATATAAGGGAAAGAAGTGTACACTTAAGGGCTCGTTTTTTCGTGGTTTGCACGATATTAATAAGATCTAACAGACAATAATGCCAAGGAAAATATAGGGGAAGATATTAGACCGAATTTATTGTAAATATGAAGAAAGAAAAGTGGGTGAAAAGATAACTTGCCATGGGCAGTTAGCTTTCATCTTCATCAGGGCCCTGATGAAGATCGGTCTCGATCGAAACATCATCAATAAACAGTTTTTTAGTGGCGTATACTTACTTTCCCTTAATTCTACGGCAACCGAAGCCGAACTCTTTATAATATATATATATATATATATATATATATATATATATATATTGTTACGTTTCAAAGAGGCTGGTAGACGTTGAAAGGGGCCGTTTATTAGATCGTGAGGGGCAGCTCAGAAGCGGCCGACTGGTTCAAGATCCTCCTGATCCTCTTCTTCCTCTCTCGCTCTGGGCGACAAGTGCGTTCACCGTATACGCTTCTTTGTCTTCGTGCATGTATGCAACATTCTTCTCCGCGCAGACGAAGGCCGCCGGACGAGTCAGTCGAGTTGTCGTGGTGTGTACAGTTTCAGGCGCGCAACATGAACCACTTGAGTTTTGGCAGCTCGTCGACCACTCGCCGTGAGACGAGCTATTACATAGTTGACCTCTGTAAGTCTGTCGACGATGACAAAAGGTCCATCGTAAGTGGCCAAAAACTTTTGGCATAACCCGCGCTTGCGCATCGGAGTCCACAACCACACCAGATCACCACAGCGTTAAATCACTGGTCGATGGTGAATGTCATAGCGTGCCTTCGCTTTGTCTTGCGATGCCAATGTGCGTAGTCGAGCTATGCGACACGCCTCTTCGGCGAGGCAAAGAGTCTCGGCGACAGTGACGTTGTCGTGGTCACTGAAAGGCAATATTGTGTCGATTGTGTGCCGGGGCGAACGTGCATAAAGCAAAAAGAAAGGGCTATAGCCTGTAATCTCATGCTTCGCGGTGTTGAATGCGTAAGTAATGAACGGGAGTACGTCATCCCAGTTCTTGTGGTCGCATGAGACATACATAGACAACATGTTGATAATGGTGCGGTTGGTACGCTCCGTCAGCCCATTAGTTTTGGGGTGGTATGGTGTCGAGTGACGCAGGCGGGATTTACATAAACGGAGTAGCTCCTCCACGACATCCGCTGTGAATTGTCGTCCACGATCACTGATAATCAGGCGAGGTGGGCTATGTCGGAGGATGACGTACTGTAACAAAAACGACGAAACTTCACTGGCAGTTGCGGAGGGGACGGCTGCCGTCTCGCAGTAGCGTGTGTGGTAGTCGACGCAAACAATTATCCATCGGTTGCCCTTAGCCGATTTTGGGAAGGGGCCCAGAAAGTCAATGCCCACTTGTTCGAAAGGTGCGCCTGGAGTAGACATCGGCTGTAGAAGACCAGCTGGACCAGTTGATGGACGTTTGTGACGCTGACATTGCATGCAGCTTGCCACATAACTCTCAACAGACTTCTGCATACCAGGCCAATAAAAGCGCTCTTCAGTCCGGTGAAGCGTCCGCGCCAAACCTAAATGTCCAGATGTAGGGTCGTCGTGCATGACACTCATAATAACTGTTCGCAGGCTCTCCGGGACCACTAGAAGGAAACGCGCGCCACTGCTGGAGAGGTTCCTTTTGAACAACAGTCCATCACGCATACAGAAACGGCGTGCACTAGTGGAAGCGGATGCAGCGGCGAGTAGTGGTGCTAGTTTAGCATCTTTCCGCTGTTCTGCTCTAAAACTGGGATAGTCCGGGAACGTAGGCGACACAGACGCTGCAAGCTGGTCAAGGTCATCGGATTCACAGTCTGTTGTGCTAAGTGGCATACGTGAAAGACAGTCCGCGTCAGCATGTCGACGACCACTCTTGTAAGCGACGGTAAAACTGTATTTTTGTAGCCGGAGTGCCCAGCGCGCAAGGCGGCCACAAGGGTCATGAAGGTTGACAAGCCAACACAACAAGTGGTGGTCGTTTACAACTGTGAATGGCCGTCCGTACAGGTAAGACCTAAACCGCTGGATTGCAAATAATACCGCCAGGCATTCTTGTTCGGTAACAGTGTAGTTTTGTTCCGGCCTGCTTAGGGAGCGACTTGCGTATGCGATGACGTGTTCGCGGTCGCCGTAACGTTGTACTAGGACGGCTCCAATACCTATGCGGCTAGCATCCGTATGAAGCTCTGTCGGAGCAGAAGGACTGAAGTGCTGAAGGACGGGTCGTGACGTCAGCAAAAACTTCAATTGACGGAATGAAGAATCGCACTCCGGAGTCCACTCAAAGGAATTGTCCTTTCGTAAGAGGCATGTGAGAGGATACGCAACGTCGGCAAACTTTGCAATGAAGCGGCGGAAGTACGAACAAAGCCCCAGGAAACTACGAAGCTCCTTGACGGAACGCGGCGCATTGAACGCCTCAACTGCTGCTGTCTTCTGGGGGTCAGGGCGGATGCCATCCTTGTCAACGAGATGCCCGAGCACAAGCGTCTGGCGGTCTCCGAAGTGGCATTTCTTCGAGTTTAAAATTAGGCCAGCGTTTCGGATGCAGTTCAAAACAGTATCCAGACGAGAGTTGTGTTCACTGAACGTGCGGCCAAAGATGAAGACATCGTCAAGGTAGCACATGCAGATGTTCCACTTCAAGCCACGCAGGATGGTGTCCATAAACCTCTCGAACGTGGCCGGTGCATTGCACAGTCCAAATGGCATCACGTTGAATTCAAAGAGCCCATCAGGGGTTCCAAAGGCAGTCTTTTCCTTGTCCTCTGGGTGCATCGGAATTTGCCAATAACCGGATCGTAAGTCTACGGAGGAAAAATAAGAGGCCGAATGTAAGCAGTATATTGCGTCTTCTATACGTGGCAGCGGGTATACGTCCTTTTTAGTCGCGGCATTCAGTCGGCGATAGTCGACGCAAAATCTCCAAGATCCATCTTTCTTCTTAACAAGGATTACCGGTGCTGCCCACGGACTGGCTGACTCTTGTACTACTCCCTTTTGCATCATTTCCTGCACTTGGTCGTTGATAATTTGTCTTTCTGACGGGGAAACACGATATGGTTTTTGGCGAATTGGACTTGCCGCGCCAGTGTTGATGGTATGGCGCGTTCGAGACAGGGGGATAGGGATTACTTTGCCCTTCTGCGCAAAGTCAAATACCGAAACGTGCTTCAACAGCACATTCATTAAAGTTCAACGCTCGTTTGAGCTAAGCAACCTATTTATCGTTGCCATAAGCGCCCCGTCCAAATTGTGACAACCAATTCCGTCACGTTCTTCCGGCACGTCTGTGAGCTCGACCACTGATAAGGTCACGTGTTCTTTGCTGACCGAAGCTAATTTCAAACCATTGGGTAGTGTCACGGGCTCAGAGGAACAGTTTACAGTCCATAGGCCAGTTCGTCCGCCATCAATCGACACCACACAATGGGGAACCAACACATTCTTCTTCACGCAGCATTGGTTCTACGCTCGCATCGAAGCTGTCAGAATCCGCGCCGCGACAAACAACAGGAACACGTACGGTAGACAATGCAGATATGAACGTATCGCCACAGACACACAGTGTAGTTTGGTCATTCGCCGGAGTTTCCAGAAGTTCTGAAGGCATCTGGCCACTCACAAAGACTTTCCCGGTGCGACAGGCTAGAGTGGCACCACATTCTCGCAAGAAGTCCATGCCAAGAATGACATCATGTGTCGACCGAGGAATAATCGCAAACTCTGTCGTTACTATAAGGCCTCCCAAAAATACCTCAGCACTACACACACCAATAGGGCGCAATGGCTCTCCACTCACTCCACAGAACGTTGAAGTTTCATCCCAGGTAAAAACAACTTTCCGTCCTAGCACGTCTTTAAAGGAAGCACTCATCACAGAAATCGTTGCACCTGTTTCCACCAAGGCCATCACAGGCACATGATCCACCAAAACACGCACTTTGTTTTTAAACATACACACAGGAGGTATTTCTCTCAGTAGCACGTTTCCAGCGACCTCACCCCCATTGGCCGCGCTTACTAGTTTTCCGGTGGCGAAGAGGGCGCTTTGCGACGCAGCGGTGAAGGAGAACGATGAGCACGAGGTCGCGGTGGGGGCGCTAAACTCCTGTCAGATGCCGGGGAGTGGTTGCAGAAGCTGCTGGGCCAATAGTTGTCATCAGGTGGTATGTGGGCCGGCCGCCGGACACCATGAGGCTGTTCGAAGGGTCGTGAAAAGTCAGATGGTTGGTGATACCGAGGAGTCACCCGACGGTTGCGAAATCGCGATATGTGGCCTGGCACACCGCAGGAATAGCACACCGGCCGAGGTCGAAACGTCGGTCGCTCG